TATATATAATTGTGGCCACATCACTGAGCTCTGTGGCACATCACTAGTCACAGATTATCAACCTGAAAGTGCCCCTCTTAACTCTGCCTTTTATTCGTCAGTCCTCTATCCATGTTAACATACTATCTCCAACACCGTGGGCTCGTCTCATTAATTAGCCAAATGTGTGGCATCTTATCAAACACCTTCTGAAAATCCAAATATGTTGTATATCCTGCTTCACTCACCCAGCCCCTTGTACAGTACCTCCCAAATATAACCTTTCCTTCACTGTTAATGAGTCAAATTCCTAATGGCATTACATGGAGTGCAGCCTCACCTTAGAATCACAGAATCCCTACAGTGCAGAAAGAGGCTGTCTGGCCTATCAGATCTGTACTAACCCACCAAAGACCATCACACCCACCACCCTATTCCCCATAACTCTGCCTTTACTGTGGCTAATCTACCGAACCTGCACATCCCTGGACACTACGGGGCAATTTAACACGGCCAATCCATCTAACTTGCAAATCTCTGGACTGAGAGAAGACACTGGAGCACCCAACAAAAACCCAAGCAGATATGGGGAGAATGTCTGAGCGAAGGTTGTACAGTCAACCAAGGCTGGAATCGAACCTGGGTCCTGTGAGGCAGCACCACTAACCAATGAGCCACCATGCCACCCAGGTAGAGAGCCTTGTAAAGGGCAATTAGAGATGCCCAATAAATGCTGGCCTAACCCCCAACATCCACGTCCCCTGAACAAATAACTTGCTTATTTTGCTGACACCCAAGGTCCTGCTAATCTAACACCTGAAAATTGAGGTCATTTTGGAAAATAGCCTGGGAATTGCTGACCAGGTGAGTCTTCCAGGGTTTTGTGATACATTCCTTTCTCAGCAATAAGTTACTAGAATCAAGTTCCAGTCCATGTCTTCAGCATAAGTAGTCCAAGCTGACATCACAGCACCTGACTGAATCAGTGCTGACTGATAGGGCGGCACGGTGGCTCAGTGGTTAGTACTGCTGCCTCACAGCGCCAGGGACCTGGGTTCAATTCCACCCTCGGGCGACTGTCTGTGTGTGGACTTTGCACATTCTCCCTGTGTCTACGTGGGTTTCCTCCCACAGTCCAAAGATGTGGAGGTGAGGTAGATTGGCTATGCTAAATTGCCCATAGTGTTCAGGGGTCTGTAGATTAGGTGGGTTATAGGGTGATGGGTCTGGGTGGGATGCTCCAAGGGTCGGTGTGGACTTGTTGGGCTGAAGGGCCTGTTTCCACGCTGTAGGGATTCTATGACTGAATCTGACTGATCCTGGATAATACACACACAAAGCTTCTTTGAGACAATCAAACAAACCACTTAAATGTGTGTTTCCTTGCTGTAAGTTGGAAAAGGCTGTTAGGACTTCAATAAGAAACTCTTTAACCGATTGCCACACCCTCTTATAACAGCTGTATAAAAGTGCATTTGCTATTGGTTTAAGAAGAAAATGCATCATTCCACAAATAAGACAGAATGAATAAAGGATGAGACAGCCTTTTCCAATGCTTTCTAAAATTAAATTGTATGTAAACAATTGAGACTGTAATGAAATTTAACCTGACAACAAATGGTCTTGGGGCTTTACTACAAAATTCAGAATGCAGAAGACATTTAATTCTGTAAATTAAGGAGACCTGCATTTTGTAATATATTACGTTTTAATCCATGTCATTTGTTCAAGGGATGTGGATTTTTATCATCCATCCTTAATAACATTTGGAAAATTGTAAATTGAGTCAAGCAGAGTCAGCATAGCTTTATAAAAGGGAAGTCATGGTTGATTTTTAAAAAAAAAATTTTCAAGGAAGTCTCAACCAGAGTGGATAGAGGCGAACCAGTAGATGTGTTGTATTTGAGAAGAAGCCATTTGACAAGGTACCTCACAGATCAAGTCTAAAATAACAGCTGGAGGTGTTGGAGGTAGTATACTGATATCCATGGCAAATTCTCAAATGGGCAGGAAACAGCAAGTGGGGATAAGGGTTCATTTTCAGGTTGGCAATCTGTAACAGCTGGGGTTCCATCGGGATCAGAGCTGGCACTGCAACTGTTTACATTATATATTAATGGCTTGGAAGGTGGAAACTGTAGTCAAATTTGCAGATGAAACAAAAGTAGGTGGAATGGCAAGCTGCGAGAAGGATACAAACAGTTAGAGAGCTATTAACAGATTAGTAAGTGGGCAAAAAGTTAGCAAATGGAGTATAAGGTGGGAAAATATGAAGTTGTTCATTTTGGGGGGGGGAGAACAAAATAACAATACTACTTAAAATAAACTGCAACCTGTAGGGACTTTGGGGACTCTTACGCACAAAACACAAAGCTTGTGCCATTGCAACAGCTAAATCAGTAAGGCTAACGAAATGTTGGCCCTTATTTTAAGGGGGTTGGCGTAGGAGAATAGGGAAGCCTTCTGCAACTGCACAGGGTGCTGGTGAGACCACATCTGATGTATTGAGAGCAGTTTTGGTCTCCCTATTTAAGAAAGGTTTCAAGTCATTGGAGGCAGTACAGAAAAGGTTCACTTGGACGATTCCCAGTATGGAGGAACTGTATAACAAGCAAAAGCTAAACAGATTGGAACTTTAAAAGTTTGAGATTAAGACTCATTGGAATTTAGAAGAATGAGAGGTGATCTTATTGAAACATACAGGATTCTTAAGGGGCTTGACAAGGTAAATGCTGAGAGGATGTTTCCCCTCATGGGAGGGTTTAGGATCAGAGGGCATAATCTCAGAGTAAAGGGCCACCAATTTAAAACTGAGATGGGGAGGAATTTCTTCTGAGAGCTGAGTGACTCTGGGATACCTTGCCACTGAGAGTTGTGGAGCAGAGTCATTGTGCATATTTAAGGCCAAAATAGAAGAATTATTGATCAATAGGGGAAAAATCAAGGGTTTGGGGAAAACACAGGAAAGTGGACATGAGGAAAGTCAGATCAGCTACGATTGTGTTGAACGGCAAAGCAGGCTCTGGAGCTGAACAGCAACTCCTGTTCTTAATTCTTATGCTCTAACGTTGTAGCTGTTTCTATGCTGAAATGATGATTGCTCATTATCTTATACTTTAGTGACTGCCCTTAATGAATTAAAATTACTATTCTCTGTCATAATTCAGAACTTGCTTTAATGATGATTTTTCAACAACCTAATATTCTCAGGTGTGGTTTAACACCTAATCTGAAAAATAGCATCTGCTCCTTCCAATGGACAAAAGGAAATCTCAAACAATCCTTTTCAACAGCAGGGGTATTATTCCAGGTACCCAAGTCAAGATTGTCACATTGCTGACTGTGAAAGCTGGCTATCACTTTGACTGCACTACAATGGCCGCTACCGTCCAAAAAAGTATACCATTCGTTGTAGAGCAACAGGACATGTCCAGCGGTCGTGATAACACTATAGAAATGCATGTCTTTCACCACTGCCATCTTTACAATGGGAGGCGAATCTATCCAAGTACTAATAATGGATATGTTAATTGCCGGGGCTCAATGGTGGTTACGTTCCACTGTGACTTTAATCGATCGAAGTATTTACAATGATCACCGCAAGACTATATTTTCTGGCCTCGTCACCGTGGCGCATAAGTCTCCTCAAAGGTGCGCTTGGGAAACAAGAGTTGATGACAGTAAAATAAAACAAAGTACTGCGGATGCTGGAGAGCTGAAACAAAAACAGAAATTGCTGGGAAAACTCAGCAAATCTGTCAGTATCTAAGGGAAGAAACTAAAGTCAACGTTTCGAGGCGGTGACTCTTCACAGTTGAGGAAAGACCTAACCATTATACTTGCATTACTACCTTATTTCGATAGTACCGTACGACAGTGAATGAAACTGGCTATCAAAACACTTGCAATTAAATCGCTGGAAGATGTTGACAAATGAGATTTAATATTTAGGGGCAATAGGAATGAACGTAATCGTCAGCAACGTGTTGCTACTTGCATCATTTTAAAAATCGGTTTAGCGCAATCTAATTGAATTATTCTGTTACATCATCTGGTAGACGAAAAAATAGTATTAAACAGTTATGGTTTATAATTCTCACATTCTATCTTGCTTCTAACAAAAGTGTATTTTCTAATTTCATACAGGATTTAAAGTTTTTGTTATTTCACGCAGTGACTTATTTCAATATCCACTTTAAACAAAAAAATCTGCTGTGCTAGTTTCGTAAACAAAAAGACTGTAAGATAACTCGGTTCAGTCATACTTGCAGCCATTAGTGCCAGATTCGTATAGTAGTTTAGGCGACTGTATCTAAAACCTGAACTTTCAAAAGTGGCCGAATTCTCTATTTACGGTCCCTGGATAAATAAAGCTTCCAAGATAATGCTAATTCGGTTGTGCACCCTTCTTCCCTAGTTCCATGCTCCCCTAAAAGTTCCCACCCCGCTGTTCAGTTCCAAAGTTTCAAAACACCATCTGGCAATGTTGCAGCGCCGAATATTTCAGTCTCTCGCTCCGAACACTTCCAGTTCCTGAGACACGCCCTTGTTACCCCTTTCAAAGTTTACGCCTTCCACTCCTGAAGACCGCCTAGTTGAAGCTCGGAGCTTCATTTCTGGAGCCCCATCTCCCCGAAGTTTGCAGCTTCCTGGTTCTCACCTTCCCAGTAAACTCCAAAGCTCAGCTCCCTCTAGGTTTTCATGCTCAAGACAAGTTGCATTCACATTCCTTTCTACAAACTCCCGGCTCTTCACTCTTTTGACTGTGGCTGGGCTCAGTATCCTCCTCATCCGTTCCCCTTCCCTTCCCAAGCCTCCTGCCCAAAACCTCTCAATTCCCTGGGGTGGGGGAAGCAGCAGCCTGACCAAAGGAGCCCGGAGTGCCTCCCTCTGACTGGCTAGACAAGAGGGATCCTCCCCGGGGACCGCTGTACAAATTCTCCTCAATACCGCCCCCAAAAGCTGCCAATTATTAAAATTACCACACGGATGTCAACCAATCATTGCGCTCCTTCTCACAGGGGCTGGGCTGGAATCAGATCGTGATTGGCTCGGATTTGTAGATCGCAGAGTCTCGAGCCGGTTTCAAGGCGTCTCTTGCCGACACTGCGCAGAGCCAGGCGGCTGGGGGCTCCTAGAAACAGGCGGCAGGGAGCTGATGGAGTGACACAAATGGACAGTGGAGTCGGTGCTGGGTTGCTGCTCGGTTCGGGGCTGTTTTGGCATCCGAATCGTTTCCAGTGTAAAAATCATACGCCCTCTCAAACGTAAGTGCTCAACAATTTTTTTGTTTTTTTTTAAAAAAGACGACAACAAACAAAACTTCTGTGTATTTAATGCCGTAGGATCATTTCCTGCCTCGAAGTAGTTTGAAGAGAGGGAAACAGCGAGGGAAAAGTATGGCTGTGAGTAATTGTTTCCATCTGGATCTGTGCAAACTTGCGAGCGCTCGGTGGCTGTTTGTGCTGCATCTGTTTCTCCAAGGACTGGGACCTGTGCGGCCACAGGGGCAGTACAATAGCGAGAGGGGCATCTCAATCCCGGACCACGGCTTTTGCCAGCCCATCTCGATCCCCCTGTGCACGGACATCGCCTACAACCAGACCATCATGCCGAACTTGTTGGGGCACACGAACCAGGAAGATGCCGGCCTGGAGGTTCACCAGTTTTACCCGCTGGTGAAAGTGCAGTGCTCGCCCGAGCTAAAGTTTTTCCTGTGTTCCATGTACGCGCCGGTGTGCACGGTACTGGAGCAGGCGATCCCCCCGTGCCGATCGCTTTGTGAGCGGGCCAGGCAGGGCTGTGAGGCGCTCATGAACAAATTCGGCTTCCAGTGGCCCGAGAGCCTGCGCTGCGAAAACTTTCCCGTCCACGGATCTATTGACTTGTGCGTGGGGCAGAACAACACCGAGAAGGGCAGTCCGACCCTGGATCCCACCCAGTCCTTACCGAACACCGGGACCATACACCCCCGGGGTTCCTCGGGCAGGGAGCAGTTCATTTGCCCGCGGGTTCTGAAAGTGCCCAGTTACCTGAACTACCACTTCCTGGGGGAGAAGGACTGCGGGGCGCCCTGCGAGCCCTCCCGCACCAACGGCCTGATGTATTTCAGTGAGCAGGAGCTGAAGTTCTCCCGGATTTGGATCGGGATCTGGTCGGTGCTGTGCTGCGCTTCCACCCTGTTCACGGTGCTGACCTACCTGGTGGACATGCAGCGGTTCAGCTACCCGGAGCGGCCCATCATCTTCCTGTCGGGCTGCTACACCATGGTAGCTACCGCCTACATCGCGGGCTTTCTGCTGGAGGAGAGGGTGGTCTGCAACGAGAGGTTCGCCGAGGACGGCTACAAGACGGTGGCGCAGGGCACCAAGAAGGAAGGCTGCACCATCCTGTTCATGATGCTCTACTTCTTCAGCATGGCCAGCTCGATCTGGTGGGTGATCCTGTCGCTGACCTGGTTCCTGGCGGCGGGAATGAAGTGGGGTCACGAGGCCATCGAGGCCAACTCGCAGTACTTCCACTTGGCGGCCTGGGCGGTGCCGGCCATCAAAACCATCACCATCCTGGCCGTGGGCCAGGTGGACGGCGACGTGCTGAGCGGGGTCTGCTTCGTGGGCCTCAACAACGTGGACGCGCTGCGCGGCTTCGTGCTGGCGCCGCTCTTCGTCTACCTGTTCATCGGCACCTCCTTCCTGCTGGCTGGCTTCGTGTCCCTGTTCCGCATCCGCACCATCATGAAGCACGACGGCACCAAGACCGAGAAGCTGGAGAAGCTGATGGTGCGCATCGGCATCTTCAGCGTCCTGTACACCGTGCCCGCCACCATCGTCATCGCCTGCTACTTCTACGAGCAGGCTTTCCGCCAGCAGTGGGAGAAAAGTTGGGTCAGCCAAGCCTGCAAAAGTTACGCTATCCCCTGCCCCTCCGGCGAGCAGCCCCACATGAGGCCGGATTTCACCGTCTACATGATCAAATACCTCATGACACTTATAGTGGGCATCACCTCAGGCTTTTGGATCTGGTCCGGTAAGACTTTACATTCATGGCGCAAGTTCTACACTAGACTCACAAACAGTAAGCACGGCGAGACGACAGTGTGAAAAAAAAAACATTTTTTATTTACAAAAAGAACAAAACATTTCTCCCTCCGAGAGGGAGGGAGATTACACACACACACAAAGTCCTAACTTTGAAATGTGACAGACTCTTTCAAGTACTGTACCTTGTAAATAGCATCTGTAAGATTTTTGTAATTATATATTTGTATTTAAAATATCACCTCCAGAGGTGTATCTTGTTTCCCCAATGTGTGGAGGATTTTTTAAAAATTCTTGATTGGGGTGGGGGAGGGGGGGGGGAACGCACTGGTTGTTTCAGTGCTCGGAAACCAAGGATTGTTGTAACTCAACTTGTAGTCGAAAATCGAGACGGAACTGCAAATGAGTCAGACTCGCAAGTTAATCCTGGTGCCTGCCAACTCGCATGTCTGAATGCCGAACCTTTCGAGATATAAATTGGACCCGGAGGCAAATGGGACGATTAGTCTTACCCTGGAATAAAAGGCTTCCTTTGGGTCCTAACGCCAAACAAGTTAACATCGCTATTCGTTACACAACTTTAAAACAATTGAATCGAGGGCGAGGGTACACAAAATAAACTGATTAAACAATGGCTTTATGCATTACCTTTACCACTGGACGCCAAGGTTCAACCTAGCACGATCTCACTTGATGGGTACCCTGCTTCGAAATAATAAAAAAATTAATTATTTTTTAGCTGTTTTAGTCTTGAATATTAATCTACCCCAAATGGATTTATACGTTTAATTCGGATCAAAATTAGCCTGAAATCTGAAATTTTTCAGGGCATAGGAGCACTTAATTTTCTTATTTATTTTGATTAACTCCTCATTATTGTCAGTAGTAATTTCAATGCCTGGTGTATTAGGAAAAATCTCTCCATTATTATCTAATTTAGCCATATTGAAAGATCACCTAAGGTACAAGTTTGCTGTTGATTGTTTTGACATGACTTTGAACATTTTTTTGGAGAGACAAAATACAGGTTTTGTGTAAGGTGACTGAAAGGAATTGTTTAAAATCCCAGAGAATAGGCAGCACAGTTTATATTTAGTGGCATTAAACAGCTGAATAATCAAAATTAATACTCTTGGTAACTTTTTTTTAGAAAGCAGGGGAATGATGAGCTTCAGAATCATGTGGGCATTATTGAGCAGGTTGAGCTGAGAGTAATGTTAAAACCCAGAGTTGGTTTTGGTATGGGTAGAGCATAATAAGACTCAGTGTTTTATTAGTGCTAAGAAGAACCTACTTCCATTCTATTCCAAGTGAATGGTCCAGAAATCAAATGATGTGTAGAAATAATCTGTAGTAGCATACGCATCACATTTAATCGATTGATTGAAATGTGGGCCATTTCTCTCTGAAAACGGCAAGAGCCTTCACTTTTTTCATGTACTATATTACAAGCATTTTTAGTACAAGTGTTTTAAAAACACCATAACTGCACCTACAGGCATTTTTATTGTACTGCATTTTAAATAATTTGCATGAATATCATGGAATAATGAATAGGAGTCAGTAGCCATAACATCATACAAGCCTGTACACATGGTTGAAATTCATTATTGTCTTCAAGTCCCTGATGAGCAAAAAAAATGTCTGAACTTGGTATTCATTTATTTTTATTCACCATTACAGAATCCTTTATATTTATAGAGCAATAGAAAAGTTTATATATTCCATATTTTTAATTTCTTTGAAATAAAACTTCCAATTTTTTGTACAAAAATTAAATTGAGTCTGCCTTTACAGAAGTTTGCGTGCTTAAAAAAAAAACACACTGGTATGATGTATTGTGCAGTGTGGTATTAAATTTTTTTGGTGGGTGGGAACAGAATGCTCCTTGGTTTGCTATTAGGAAGTGTTTTCTTGGCTATGTTTACATGTACGTATCTGCTCTTTGAAACCAGAGCATATGAATAGTAGACCTTTTTGGTCATAATATTGTATTGTCATTCATAAAATATTTTAACAGTTTAAAACTTAATGTCATACATTACTTAGGATGTTGGGACATTCTGTTTAAATAACATAAATAACGTGTTATTTAAATAACATTTCCCCCTACAAATTTACATGACTTGAAGCAATGCATTTTGTTCACCAAACAATTTAAAACGAAACAAACATTTTTCTGGGATTGTATTTCTGTCTGTGTTAATTGATTTTTAAGCCTTTTCAAGTACTTAGGAACACATTCTAACAATAAATTGATTTCAAAATGTGTACATATAAACCACTGCTCCCGCCAGGGTCAGGTGAATATAGAAGCTTTAAATGCAGCAGACATTTATTTTAAGAAACAAAAAAGTCAATCACTAGATTGAATTTTAGAGTGGACAGTTGAATGCTATAGGAACCCTATGTATCAAGAGTTTTGTCTGCATTGTTTGATTTACATATTTTCAAAAATGCTGTGATCTGCATGTTTTTCTGCTTCTGTTTCACAATATATATGCAATCCAAATGTTTTGGAGGTAAGTAATTTATATATGACCAACTCAATCATTTAAATCATTGAAAACCTATACATCACAGCGGTGACAATTTAATCCTGGATTGACAGTTTCCAAAAATAGATTTAAATGGCACTTAGCTAAGTGATCGCACCAGGATTGCAGATTATGTATTTAAAGGAAATTATTTATACTATTGAGAATGAATATTTAAAATCACAATTGTCGCCAAAATTATTAACTCAAAGTCTCCTGTTTAAACATAAAATCTTCTAGAACTGCTTAAGAATCTCAAGTTTATGACGTGAACCCTTTACAAAACTGCAATTCATAAGTCTGTATAATTAATTTCATTGCAGCAATCATTATGGTTTTATGAAGATAAATGTATGCATATGTCAAGGTCACACACCAGCTGTTTTGTGATGCTTTTCTAAAAGTAATAGACCATTATTAACTCCCTTAATCTGTAGATATATTTATGCATATCCCATACAGAATGGGCGCTCTCATCCTTGTTTATTTCCTAAGGGAGTGGCAGATTGTTCCAGACATGTGACTAGATTTTAGTAAATAAATTTTTGGTTTGTCATTTAGTTCTTAGATCCTATATTTGGAAGTTTGTCATTAAATAGTACTGCAAAGCTTCATTTTCCTTCATCTTCAAGTAGTCTGGCACACAGAGGTGCCTTTCTGCATTTAAATTGTGCAGTTTTAAGTGTGTCCATTGCTAATTACCGAGCTGCAAATTGTTCCATGTGAGTGTCATGCATATTCCAAGTGGTGCACATTTGCTGAATAATTTGGCTAAAATTTGTATAAATCGTAAAAATGATTAATTTAAAGAATCAGATCCTCAAAAATCAAGTTTAAAACAGATTATTGATTAACTATAATTTAAAAAAATAAAATATATCACTGATTCTTTCCATTTCAAAAATAATCTGAATTTAAAATTTTAATCCAAATGTACGTATATATGTATAGGTAAGTCGGTATATATTTTTTAAAAGGTTTCAAATCGAAGAATACTATACAGGATTTACATTATTTTCAAATGTTTGAATATTAAAATATTTCACTTAGTTCAAAATATTAATCTTAAACATTGCTAAAATATCTGATGCATGGCTGTTTTATTTCATTATACCAAAGGCAAATTATTAACTTATATTTTCATTTTCACTTAATCTTGGGCAGCTGTTGGTAGGAATAACATTGATAAAAAACTGACGCCAAGATGTATTTTCACTACTACTAATATTCTGGCTGGTGGGATTTTCCAGAGACCAGATTCTAGTTTGCAAATTACTTAATTGCAGACCATCATGTTACATACCATTTTGTTTTAAATGATCTTACTTGACCAATAATTCTCAGGCTTTTTGTTCCACAGATGAAATATTTCTTATGAGCTAAGTAATAGCTAATCTATGTTTTATAATTTTTTTTATCAGCTTTTAAAAAGACTGTCAGAAGTTGTTTTAGCTCCTAGGTCAAGAATGTTCGCATGCTGTTTTCCTGACAAGGGAGGCATACTATGCCGCTGCCTTGGAATTCCACAAATTCACTTTCAAAGCAAAGGTACTTTGTAATAGATATAGTAATACGTGGTAAGAGAGACTACTGATTTTTAGTTTTCTGCCTATAAAATGACTTATTTGATAGTTATTATTTTTAGGGCTGTTGGAGACCAAATTTTCCATAGGGCAATTTCACATAGAAATAAACTCAAGGCTTTTGGTGGCTGCAAAGTAAAGTTGTTAAATCCTGGAAGCCATGCGTCAAGAACTGTATTAGCCCAAAAATTTGGGATTGTAATCAGATACTATCTTTGAAAGAACAATTATAGATTGAAGTCACAATTCTCCACAGCTCACCTCATTAAGTATGCACCTCATCTCCACAGTGCTGCTGTTGCACTGTCTTGTGCTGAGCAGTAGTAGATGTGCTTTGCTATGCTGGGACATTGCTCCATTCATGCCACATGTTTAAACACCAGCTGTGAACCATTTGAAACACTGCCAGCCAGTAACAGTCCTTAGTGTCTTAACTGTGCAAATCAAAACAACATGGCTGAGAGAGACCAGGTTGGCACCCCACTTCACAGACAAGAACCTCAAGATCCTGGTGGACCAGGTGGTGGAGAAGAGGGCTGTTTTCATTCTCCAACAACTATCAGAAGAGACCATGATGTCAGATGCTGCCCTCCTGATCTGAAGTTGCTACCCAGATGAGGTACAGTATCCACAGTCTGAAGGAATTCGTACCAGTGCCATAAGAAAATGAATGACATACTGCATTAAGCATAAGGGCCACCATTTCTCTGCTACCTGACATTTAGTCTGCTATTGCACCCAGCACAATCCAAGGCTCATGACCTATGACCATCACTATCGCATGCAGTGTATTTCTCAATTACTGTCAACACCAGCGCCCCCCGCCCCCAAAAAAAATACTGGTGTAGAGTCGTAGAGCCATACAGAATGGAAACACACTTCGGTCCAATTCATCCATGCCAACCAAGTTTCCCAAACTAAACTGCCACTTACCTGCATTTGGCCCATATCCCTCTAAACCTTTCCTATTCTTTTACCTATCCAAATGTCTTCTAAATCTTGTAACTGTACCTGCATGAACCATTTCCTCTGGCAGTTCATTCCACCTATGAACTACCCTCTGTGGCCCTCAGGTCCCTTTCAAATCTTTCTCCTCGCACCTTAAAAACATGCCCATTAGTTTTGGACTCTCCCACGCTAGGGAAAAGA